TTACACATGATCTTTTTTATTTAATTTTTGTGTCACGATATAGAAATTTATAATGAAAGATTCAACAAAGATGAATGATTATTATGCCAATTTAACTAGTTCGAAATAGGTACTGTATCTTCGGTAAACATGAAATAACAAACAAAATTCAATTCTATTATTAGCCGAGTATCGAGTACAGAACTAAAATCACATATTATGAATGTAAAAGTTTTTTTATTTGGATGTCTGTTCGTCAATCACGCTGAAACTACTGAACGGATTTTGATGAAATTTGGTACACAGGCAGATTATGGGCTGACTTAAGTGATAGGACATAAATGCTCCTAAGAGATAAAACAGGAATCATATTTTACGCGGACGAAGTCGCTAGCAACAGCTAGTACTAAATACTTCCAAAATATTGATAATACAACGACTATCTCAAAAATACAATTAAGCCTACAGCTGTAGAAAGAACCCTCAAAAAAAACTAATCAAGATATTAACCATCAACCAACCATCTATTAAACTATGAAAAAATGGGGCTGACATGTTCCTAAACGAAAAGTCCCTAAAACCATAGATAATAATAAAAAAAAAAACTATGTAAAAGATAGCGATACTAATAATGAACTGAACTTAACTACGATAAAACACGGTTAACGAGTACCAGTCATTTCTATTACCTACTTGACTACACTAATCCATTCAAACTCAGGTGCTACAAAATTATGCAAACTCATATATCATAGACTTACTATCACCCTAGACGTATTAGGGTTGCCAGTAAAGTAAAAACTTAAATATTGAGACATAAATCCAATTTGTAGGCAACACTTTAAGAAAAGAGGTCGTTTATAAAATTTATGGTTTGGTTAGGGATTAAATATTTGCTAAGATTTAAGTCTTTTTGTATGGTTTTAATGGCCACTAACCAATGTATAAAATATTTAAAGTTAAAACGTTGTTGGGAAGATCAATTTGAGAATTACTGTTAAGATTTACACAGATATTACATTTTTCTTTATTAAATTGTGACTAAATAAACATTCGTAGGCAAATGAATTTTAATTTAGTTTAAAAGTATTGACCGCCTCGTTTGTCGAATACTCGCAAGTGCGATTGGTGCAATTCCCGGGTCGGAAAAAGTATTACTGGTTTTTTTTTTAATCTCAGTAGTAGGATGGAGTCTGAAATCGTGCCTGGTCTATGGCAATAGGCTCACTCCGTATTACATGGGACTCATAACATAAATAGTGAAAAGTAGGTGTTAAATTGTATAGTGGCATTAACTGCCGTAATGCGCACCTTTGCCTATCCTTGCAGGGATAAAGGGCGTGATGTTATGTTATGAATTTTTTGGATCTATTTGAAAATATTCTACATTAAGATATCTCTTCTGTATTACAAAGTCTGTACATGACTTAACGTTATTGATTAAACCACAGAACTTTTGTTATTATATATTATAATTGTTAAGAAATAGTCAAGAAAAAGTCATATTCATATCTCAACGTATAAAAAGAGAGCCGTAAAATTTAATATTCGCTCCATATTTAGAAGAGGCCTCTTCATTCACTGTCACTGTTCAAATATTGTCGTTTACGAACTAAAAGTGACATTTATACTGATATTGTCACCACAACAATACAGGAAACACACAATACATTCGAAATACCACCCACAAACAGATACTTAACCGACTAAATAGATCAAACGTTTCAATTAACAATGGCCCTTTGGTATGACTACAAAAACTATTACAATTTTACTTGTACACCTATAAACTACGATTATATATCCTATGCAATGAAAATAGAGTCCACAGAGTACGAAAATAACCGCATTTTGCTGGTTTCGATACAAATTTTATAACAATTTTATTTTTACACCTATAAGCCGCAATTTTGTATCCTAATACATTGTAATAAAGACTTTTGTAAACGTAAATTGGTATGATTTCAGGTTTTTGTGTAGGCGTCATTCATTATACGTAATATTATGGCGTAAAGTTCTGTGTGAAGTCAATAAATATGTTTTTGAAAGAGATTATTATTGATGTATCGATCAATTTGTGATTGATCGGTATCCTAGGCGCTAGCAGGTGAAAGTAGCCGTTGTTACGAAGCTTTGTTGTTATACCGCCTTACAGCTGTTGATGGAGTTCATTGTAGATAATTATTTTTCAAGCCCTTTATGGCATGGGTGCATTTATAAAAGTTAAGCAACACAATTTTGGATATCGTTATAAGTCTCGTGTCACGAGAGCGCATTGTTTTCTTAGACATCCTTTTAGTGACTAGATATTTTCAATAATCTGAGAATCTAAAAATCCACGTGAAAAATCTAAGACTTGACTGTTTAGCTCTTGACCCAGGAGTTGTAACACCAATCTTATGCATCAAGGATTATTTCCTCGTTAAATTATAAGACTGTTAAAACAACAGACAGGATAGGATTTTCCTCATAAATATTCATTGAGTACGTACAAGCAATATGTAGAATGCATGTGGTCATACAGGTGACATCACAGGTGACTGAATTACTATACATTTAGTAATTAACATATTTTAATTGCTTATCTACAATGTTGTAAACTAAGTTGGACGATTGCATTTCAGAGTGAAGGCCAATTTCCAAGTCAGGTGAAACAATTCATTGTTTTGATTTTCGGAGTTTCAATAACCGATAAATTTGTTGATAGATGGGTTTCCTGCGTCGCGTTCCGCGCGCCTCAAGGAGCCATCAGACCACCACAGATGGGGCCCAATAGAGCTGATGCCGAAAAGGAGCCGCGGAAGACTTAACGGGTTGCTGGGGAGCCAGGTCGAAGGGCAGGAGTAGGAACAGGATGGTTTTTAGTCAGTAAAACTCTGACACTCACGCCTCACCGGGGCGCGAGAAGTCATTGGATGATTTCCCCCCTCAAAAAAGGGATAGACTTTTGACATTTAAGATGTGTCAATAATCTATGTCCAGTAAAGCAAATATGCTTTGCAAAGCTTCCAAATGACACAGAAATAAGTCGTGAAAATCACAACGATACCTACTTAATTCCAAGTTTAAATATAATTTCTATTACTTAACCCTGTTCAACCGTTAACTAGTCGAGAAAACTGTTAATTGATTGCTTTTAAAAAGTTTGTTTCTAAGTAATTAAAGTAAATAAAGTGCACTTTCGCGCGTTTGATTCGGGGCCGACTCCAATTACAAATAGATAAACGAATTAATGAGCTTTCTTATTTGTCAGCCATTTTGTTTAGTCTTGTGACACGGTTTTTAAGATTTGTTAGGCAATGATATTAGGTCGTACTGCCTTTAGTCTATGTCTTGAATAATAAATAGAAAAGATCGAGTCTAAGATTGTTATACTGTATCAAATAGAGTGTGTACATATTTATTAATGTGTACAGAATCATTTGCTGTTGTCCAAATCCAACATACGAGATGCTAAATTCTAGAAGCTGCCTAATACTTAGCGAATTATTATTTAAAAAAAAATAGTTTTTAACTTATCCTTAAAATGTTTGGCAATTAAAAACAAGATAATTATAATCACCATCCCAATAAATTAAAAATGTGTCACAGTACAACTTTTAAACATTTAACGACATTACACAACAAGATTACTAATTACTAATTAATTTACCGTTCGTCCAATAATTAACCAGGCATTAGCTTAAAACGTAATTAATCTTATTACCTCAATATAAACCACTGATAAGCAGTAAATCTCGTTCAAATGAGTTCGATTATCGGAACCATTTTGTATAATTTCCTGCTTCGTGTTATTAGTGGTACTTTAACGATAGATGGCGTTGATTGTACAGTAATAATGTGGTGTTGCCACAATACCTAATAAGTTATTAAGTTTATCATTAGAAGTTACTTTATTTTTTTTATGTTGCGTATTTTATGTTCATCACTCTTGTATTGAGCTAAAGTTTGGACCAGTTTGTTTACCTCATCTGTTACGTTAACTAATTTTAACTTACGTAGAATAGAGTCAACCTGTTAACACGAAAACCTGGAAAGCTAAGACCCAGTAAAGCTACTATTACTGCATTAGATCAATTTAAAAAAGCAAGTCATCTTCGTATTCAGAATCTCCCTGTACGCGACGCAATTCGCTAACAGCTGGCAACACAAACCGTTGCGCAAGCGACGACAAGCGGTGACCATGCCGCCATGCCGCGTTAAAAGAAACATCGTTTGTTATTATAATCTATCAACAAAATGGATATTTTGATTCAACGTCTGGTCAGACGGGAGGATAAAATTGTTTTAAATATTATTGTTTTATTATTATCATTAACGGCCTATTATCTTTTATCTTTCAGCGGTTATGGAGTTCTGCTTTGAAATTGTAGTACGAAGAAAGTTTGGATCAGAAGGAGATGATTTTTGTATGATATTGTTTGGAATATTATCGTGTAGTAAGAAGAGTAGCCCGTACACAAGACCATACAACAGCTGCAATTGTTTCGATACCAATAAATTCAGATGTTCTTCCGTAAATTGTTGTACGACCACGATAATCTTGATGGTAATTTTTAAGTGTGGGAGAGCCATGCTTCGGCACGAATGGGCCGGCTCGACCGGAGTGATACCACGGCCTCACAGAAAACTGACGTGAAACAGCGCTTGCCTTGTGTTTCGTCGTGTGAGTGAGGTTACCGGAGGCCCAATTATCCCCTTGCCCGGTCTCCCCAATCCCCGAATCCCCCACAATCTTCAAATTTCTAATCCCCAAAAGGCCGGTAACGCAATTGTGACGCCTATGGTTTTTCGGGTGTCCATGGGCGACGGTGATTGCTTACCATCAGGTGACCCGTTTACCTGCTCATCCCATAAAAAAAATAATGGTGAATGGACGTAGAATTATTTCAGCTTTACGCAAGCTATAAGAAGTAAGGAGGGTTTGCTATGTTACCGAGATGTCGCTGATAAACGCAGTCGGTTAACTTCCATAATATTTGTATCAGAAAATGATCAATGAGTATGAAAACTGTACTTACATGAGCGTACTGGAACCCGCAAGCATCCATACAGAGGTAGAGGCAGGTGGAGACCCCCTGGATCGTCAGGAGGCCGGCATTGTACGTCGCACGCTGAAGTATCGCTGTGGACAAACAAACAACATTGTTAATTATTGTTGTATGGAGAAAATATTAAAAAACATGAGAACCTAACGGGTAACCGGGGCTATGGCTCGACGTGCAGGAGAAGGAACGGGGTGGTTTTTAGTCAGTACCTAAGAGTCTGACACTCCCTCCCGCCTCACCCAGGCGGGAGCAGTCATTCGATGATTTTCCCCCTTAAAAAAAAATACGTGGTAGTAGGGATAGAAAAAAGAAATTATAATTAAATGGATGAAATCGTAAGTGCGTTTAGCGCATCTATACGCTGATTGCTTGCAGCAAGAAGAAAATATTACTGCTCAAAATATATGCATCGTTAGCAAATCAAACTCATTTAAAATCTATAATGATAAATACCCTACAATAACCAACCGTTTTACTAAACTGAAAATAAATAATTCCAGATCGTTTAAAAGGCCCCTGATTGTTGGAGACCGCACCGTTTACTTGTCGAGTCTCCTTCACAACGATTTAAAATGATCTAAGTACTAAGCGTTTCCTTATAATAAATATTACCAGCACTTACATTTACTATAAGGAAGCGTCCAGAAAAGCCTTCGCTCCTTAGACCAGCTCATTATGAAAAACCATAACTGTCTCTTCACACAATCGACTAAAAACAAATCTGTGCATCATTCACGTCTCTAAATGCAAGATAAAGTTAAATATAAAGCAAGCTTCACACTCATTGACTCGACTAAAATGGCATTCTTAATAGTTTGCTATTTGCATGACAACACTATTCATGGGTCTAATGTTGCCACAAGTAAGAAATTTAACGAGTTTAGATGTTCTCTGTGAATATGGTTAGTTTAAATGTGGAAAAGTAAAAATATGTTAAGGTCAAGACTGACCAAAGGAATGCCTTTACGTAGTGTAAAGTGCATTCTGCCTGTATAACTTCCAGTTGTGTAGAACTGTCTTTATGTAGACTGGCAATTGATATGGGCAAAATTATGTAAATTAACTGATCGTAATCCAGAATCTAGCTTTAAAACCAGTACTTATTTCTAATGTTCTTAAGGTCCATCTTAATCCCAAAATTTTATCAAATCTATATTTCCTGAAGGGTATAACCTAGTCTTTAAGGCTCAAGTGAATAGGTTGGTTATGGGATGATGTGCTCCATCGCTTACCATCAGGCGAGATAGTGGTTAAACGTGACTTTACCTGTTTTAATTTATTTGAATTGTTATCAATAATAATAATACTAATTTTAATATAATTGTTCTTTAATTAGACATAAATTAATACTGTTATTACAATTTTATATTTCTACACCGGTAACGGTAGTATGTGTGGAACTTTGTTAATTTTAAGATCTGTGTGCACCATGTACTGAGAAATAAATGACATTCATTCATTCATTCATTCATTCATTCATTCATTCATTCATTCATTCATTCATTCATTCATTCATTCATTCAATCATTCATTCATTCATTCGTTCATTCATTCATTCATTCATTCATTCATTCATTCATTCATTCATTCATTCATTCATTCATTCATTCATGTCCCATCAAGTATAAAAAAGATTTAGGGGGATGATTGACATTTTTTTCATTTATGCTCAACATTAGTAGCTGTATATCGTTAAATATCAATAATTCCAATATTTAAACGCATACAGCAGACAGTAACACCTTCAGTTCCGTTTCGAGGCAAACATTTACTTACAAAGAGTAATATTTGTCAATCATCGGTCGGTGTGTTTGTTCGTATGTCACTGTTAATCCCCGAAACTACTGAACCGGTTTCGATGTAAGTCGCTTTTTTAGTAAGTTTAACCACGTCGTTAATCAGTGGTTTTTAATATGTGTAAAAATGAAAGTTGTAAATAATTGGTAATTTGTATAAATATTTATGTGGTTGATATAATCATGTGATGACGGTGAAATGTAAAATATTTGACGGCTACTAAAATCATGATTTAATTCAACCATCATGGATTATATATTATGTTATAAATTCCCAGTTTTCTACTCTGCATAATGCTATGGTATATACTTGGATTGTGAAATAACTAATATTTGAAAAATACTAATCTTTGTTGCAGAACTTTTTTTGTAAAATATATAATTAATGGATTTTGAAACGAAGCTCAATTTTTTTTCCATAGTATAAGCAAACGGATCACCTAATGGTAAGCAATCGGCGCCGCCCATGGACACTCGAAACACCAAGGCGTTACCGGTCTTTTGAGAATTGGGAATTTGAGGATTGTGGAGGATTCAGGGATTCGGGAGACGGGGACTAGGGAGGGGGGTTATTGGGCCTCCGGTAACCTCACTAACACGACGAAATACAACGCAAGCGTTGTTTTACGTCGGTTTTCTGTGAGGCCGTGGTATTAATCCGGTCGAGCCGGCCCATTCGTGCCGAAGCATGGCTCTCCCACACTTATAATATATCAATGCATCGCACTAACACCCAAATACTGAAATTTTAAGCCGTCATTTTACAAAGAATTTATATTGACAAACCTATACGCGACTTAATTTGAGGTTGTGTTAAACAAAATTGAATATTTAATATCATATTCATTTAACACCATAAAACTGCCTTTCCCTTATCCCACAAATTGCGAACAGAGTTTGAATGCAACAGTTTTATAGCCAACACACCCAAGATGGCGGCTTGACAATGCGTTATTAGTGCGCGCGCATGTGAAGATGTCTCTCTAATGGCCGCCCTCTGGCTACCAAGTTCCATTGTAAGTTTATTTACTGTATTAGATTATATAAAGCGGTTATAAAACGATGGTTATTTCTAGAAATCTTAGTTAAGTTGTCTAGAACATTTTCTTATAAGTTTTCAATGCATGTGATTTTTTTTTTTTTTAAGGGGTGAAAATCATCGAATGACTGCGCCCGCCTGGGTAAGGCGGGAGGGAGTGTCAGACTCTTACTGACTAAAAACCACCCCGTTCCTTCTCCTGCACGTCGAGCCGGAGCCCCGGTTACCCGTTAGGTTCTCCGCGACCAATGCATGTGAATAAGTTCTAATTTAGACAGTTAGGTATTTAATTCCATTTTCCAATCCTTGCTGAACGAATCATCTATCCTTGCTTGCTTGGCCACCGAGGTAGAGACAACTGTTTAAAAGGTTCAGGATTATCATAAAGCGCTGTACCAGACTCTGTCTAATGAGCAGAAAAAGAGCCAAATATTCATGTCAGATTATGAAACTAGTGTCTAAATAAATCCTAAATAAACTAGACCTAATCACCAATCTAATCTTTTCTAATTTACCTCCGCATTACCGACCTAAAAGCTAATAGACGTTTTCAATTAACGGGTAAACAATAGTGACGTTCGAATGGCTTAAACGGCAACAAATCTTGTAAGTCCGTTTAGTCTAGACATTTCAAAATAGAACAAAGCCAAACAGGAACTGTAGTAATTAACACAAATAGAAATAAACAAGAATTCATTTTGTAATAAAGATGCACTCGCTATCTCTACTTGGCAATCTCTGCATTGATATTGTGCAGATAGTTCAGAAGTCTCACTCAATCTAGGTTTTTGTTCTAAACTCAACAGAAATAATGTCAGAAATCGAACTCAAAACCAAAATCGGAGAATTTGAAAGAAAACATGTATAATAATAATTTATTCGCCATAAGCATTATGCACTAAATACACAAACATAAAACGATCAAACAAATAAAACATCAACAGAAAATATAAAAAAAGTAATAAATAATAAGGTAGCAACATATTTGAAAGGGGAACTTTGCGACTGTCAAACACCGCGAGGACACCGGTGACCGCAACCTATTGTTCTTTAATTGTGTCTATAATGACGGTACTCACAGAGATAATTTTTTTATTAAGTTTTGTCACTGAGCATCCACATCTCCCTAAGTAAGCATTTGAAGGTATAGGTGAATGAACTTTAAAACCTAACATATAATAATAATACTACGTCAAAAGAATGAATAATTAATAATTTAAACTCATAAATTATGTCTAGCAGTTTACAATTCAATGAAAAAATAAAATTCTGCGGGTAACATACGTCACATGAGACCAGCTGTCATAACAATAGACAGACAGACAGTTGGTGCTCAGACATATTCAAAGGAAGACCTTGAAACTAAAACTGTATGGAAATAATTAGATTAAAATGATTAAGAATTAAGCTGATTATATTGGCTGGTAATTGACGGTTTACTAAGAACGACAAGCATTATTTTAACTAATTAGATTGTTTTACAATATGAGGAGTTTTCACGTAGAAAAAGAACAAGGAGACAGCTAGAGGAGACCTTTGCCAAAAGGCGCACTGAATTAAGAGATATACTGTAACCTTCTTGTAACAACACTTATTCTAAAAATTCAGAATAAAGGGCTTTATTTTACCTACACACCAGGTGAGTAACCTTTCATCTACAAAGGCCTACAACGCAAGTTATGCACATAGTGGTACTTTTTAAAAACATCCATATTGTTTAGATCAAGATATAGCTACAGGGGATGTTTAATTTAATTGTTATTAACACGGTGATGTAAGCGAATGGAATATGTAAGTACTATCGACGTTTGTATCTTGCCGATAATATATGGTAGGATGTGAATAGTATAATGTAGAGGAAATATCTTTGTTGGAAACGTATTAGATGTGTATTAGCAGTCGTTTAGTTTAGCATAGGCCCATTTAGCACAGACATGTTGTCAGCGTCTCGTTTACAGTCGTTTAGTTTAGCATAGGCCTGTCAGCGTCTCTTTTCTGAGTCTTCTGATTTAGTTTTTTAACTTAATGTTTTTTTTACTTCCACTGTCACACTTTCATTATCTTTTTTATGTTTTAATTATGCTGCATTGGGCCTGGTGATTTCTTTAGAAGATAGGGCGATAGCATTATTTGTTCTCAATCCTAGTCTTACTCTGTGATGATATATGGAGCTGATCACAACTTTACGGGTTGCCGGGGCTCCCACTCGAAGTAGGACTATCCTGTTTCGAATTGCAGCTGA